GCCCCGCCCAGCCTGCACCATGACGGAGAAGCCACGGAACAGCCCTGCGCCTTCCAGACAGCCCTCCTCTCGCTCCCTCTTAGACCTTGGAGGTTAATTACTCTGTGCTGTAATCATTTTCTAGAACTAACCGATGCCGGACTTCTAAATCAGACTTCTATGGACATTTTCATGAGAACTTGACCAGTACTGGTGAAAGGCTTAATCCTGAAGGTTAAGTGATAGGGTCCCTTGATAAGTAAACTTGCAATAAATATTAGTTTGCTCTCACAGAGAAGCCTAATTATTTCTCAAGGATTTTTTAAGCCTGTGGTACTGAAAACAGGCTTGTGAGGAGAGCAGAGCAGGCCTTGCGTTGCGACCCCCGCCCCCATGCCCCCAGTGGATGCCCCTGGAGGCGCGTGCCTCCCAGCTGGTGCCCTTTACCCCCGCTTTAGGACATTGTCCCCAAAGCAGGCAATTTGCATTCAGTTTAGAGAGTTTCTCTCCTTTGTGTGGTGGGATCCAGACAGGTGGGAGAGGCAGGAGGAGGGGAGGGTACAAGTTGAATGTGGCCAACACCCTGAAGCTAGACCTTTGAGATGCTTTGCATTTTATTTGATAAAACGGACTGTGTCTTTTGTGTTGCCCTGAATGCCTCCATCTGCCCGGGCAGTCTGACTGCGGGTGTCTCTGTAACCGAAATCCTCCCTCATCTGCTTCCCTCAGGAGCCTTCCGGCCTAGCTTAGCCTAGCCTAGCGTGAGCAGCCTTCCTCCCCAGGACAAAGGCCTGGTGAGGCGTCAGCACCTCCTCCCGCCAGGACGGCCAGCCCAGCTTTGAACCGGCCGAGCGGAGTGCTGTGTCGAGGGGCGCTGTGCAGACGCGCCTGGTGGCGGGGTGCTGAGGAGCCCGGGCAGGCGGCTGCCCCTGCGCACAGCGCGTGGCACTGTCCTCGGCCCGTCCGTGCTGCCTTGAGCTCCCCGCTCCCTGTGCAAGTAGAGCCTGACGCCTGCCCTGCGTTGACTCTGCACGTCGGGACCTGTCCTGAGTTGTGCGTGGCGCTGGCAGGTGCGGAGAAACCGTGAACGACCCTGGGAAGGTCCGAGTGGGGCCCGTGTTCCAGAAGAAGGGGCGCTGACGGAAACACAAACAAAATGAGGTTGATTGGAGCTCCTAAGTCCTGGGAAAATAACCAGGATGATGGAATTGGCACGGGGCTGTGGGGGAAGGCCTCGGCTGGCATTTGACACTCAGCAGATGAGGGGCGAGGGGCACGGCCAGTGCCAAGGCCCTGAGACAGGCAGGACGGCAGGTGTCCAGAGGACTGCTCGCGGCTGTTGTGGCTCCAGGGTGGGGAGGTGGGGAGGTGCCCGCAGGTGGAAGCCGGCGGCTCTGGGTCCAGAGGCTGGGCGAACCGCGTCCTCATTCCTGAGCAGCGGGAAAGAAGAGTGGCTTCAAGTAGGGGGTCATTTGATCTGGTGTCTACGTTAAAAAATCTGCGCCTGCTCCCTGGAGAACCAGGGCCAGCGGCCGATGGGGGTGGCGGTTGGGACGATGCGGGCCAGACTTGGGGTGGTGGGTCTGGGCGGGAAGGAGGACCGTAGTGTTTCGGCAGCGTTGGGGGGGGGGGGCGGCGTCTCGGAGCGGGCCCTTCAGCGTTGTAACCAGGTGGTGGTCCGGTTCTGGTCAGACGTGCCGAGTGAGGTGTCTTTCCTTCCGGGAGCAGGGCGGGCACGGGGATTCGTGGCCCCTGTTCCCACGCTCGGCGGATGCCAGTCGCTTTTCCACAGTGAGCTAGTTTTCTTCTAAGTCCTGTCATCAAGGACCGTCTAAAACCTAGAAATGTGAGAAGAGGGTGGGTCTCGCGTCCTCTGTCACTGGGGCCTCGCCTCACAGGCTCCCCCGAGGGCTGGCTTTCCGGGGGAACGTGTCTGGGTTTGACGTTGCGTGATGGCTGTAATTAAGGGCTTTGCCTCTGAGGCTACGCGTTGGCTCACAGACCTTCTCTGGTAGAGGAACGGACAGCTTCTGTCCGGAAGAAGACCCCCAAACGCCAGGGTTTTCCTGCCCTGTTGGGCGCTGGAGGGCCCTGTCTCGTAGGCTGGCTGTTCTTGGTGGCCCTGGGCCCGATCCGCGCACCCTGATGGGGCCCTTCGGTACCTGTTCATCCTGTGCTTTTCCGAGTCATGCCTTTAGCTCTTTGAAAACTATGCCCTGACACTGGCCGCGGGTGGATTCGCTGTCTAGAGACCTCACGCTGGTGAATTTACCAAGTGCCTTTATCAGCGGTGTCGGAGCAGAGGTTTCTGTGGCCTTACGCTCTCTTGAAGGCCCTGCAAGGCATTTCAGAAGCACCGGGCTTGCCGAGCACCCTGCTTCTCCAGGCGACACTGCGACTCTGGCCCTTTCGCTGTTGTGATGAGAAGAAGCAGTGGGTTGAAAACCCGGTGAAACCAAGGTTTCTCTTTATCTTTTTCATCTTGAAGCCCCTAGCGGTTGTGCCCTATTTCAAAGGGCAGGGTCCACCTCCCGGGTGCCTGGGAAAGTCGAAGGCGCTTGGGAGGCTGAAAAACCAGCGTTGGTGACCTCCGTCTGCACCGCCTCGTTTCTCTGTGGCGGCATCTGCGGCCCAGACCGAGCGTTTCCCACCGTCTCCCCCTCACTGGGAGAGCAGCTGGCGCCCCCCGCCTTCCAGGACACAGCGGGTGGAGGACCCAGGGGCCTCTTTCGGTCACGTTCCGGGAGGTCGAGCCTGGGGCGCCAAGTGGAGACAGCAAGTGGGCAGGGGTTGCCTGCAGCCTGGGCTGGGTGAGGCCCGCGGGCAGAGGCCCGGGGGGCTTGACCTGCTGAGTCAGAGCCCTCCACCCTGGCCCTCACTCTCGGTGCCTTTGACGGAGAATGTGGCTCCTGTGCCCGGTTCCTCCAGAGTCTCTGAGGCCAGAGGTCGTGGCCGAAAGTGAACATCCGACTGGCCGTGGGTCTCGGGCTGGGCGGGGGCGCCCCGTCTACCCAGAATCCGTGTGCTGGGCTGTGGACAGATCGCGGAGGAGCCGTCTCAACCTCTCTCGCTGGAGCTGCCGGAGCCCCAAGGAAGGCTGCCTCCCGGGTGTCACGAGACACCGAAAGGGGGGAGGCACGCACTCTGTGGTCTCTCTGACACTGGGACCCTGTGCTGCTGCCATGGTGACGCCGTCGGTCACTCACCACCTGCAGGGGTTTCTGGGTTCCCTGTGCGCGTCAGTGCCACCTGGGACAAAGGACAGGCTCCCAACACCTGCAGCTTCTCAGGGACTGGCCCCACTGCTGACTCTGGAGCTGTTTGCATGGCCGCCCTCCCTGCCGCCTGCTGCTCTCCACCCAGAGCTGTCTCCCCTCCCCTCCCCTCCCCTCCCCTCCCAGGCGGTCCCCAGTGTCCCGTAGGATGGCAGTGCCCGGGGTCGTCGGGAGTTCGCCGCTGCTCTGCTGGCCGTGGTGAGCACTCGGAGCACATTCTAGTAGCAGACGCTTCCCAGCTGGGAGCGGGATGTGGCCGTTAGCCCGTCTGTCCTCGCGGCCCCCTTAGCGGGTCATTCCCTGGCCTCTGTCTTACAGGTGTGGCAGCTGAGTTACAGACACTGGTAAGTTGTCCAGAGTCTCCAAACCTGGTAAGAGGCAGGGCAGCACGTGGGCTGCGCATCTGCCTCCGGACGGGGTCCCCATGTGGTGTGGCACGCCGCTGCTGAGACAGGCCAGGCCTCTCGGGGGCACCCGGAGGGCCAATGGGAACGAGCTCAGTAAAGGGCGCGGAGGCCAGGACCCACCGGGACGCGACTGACTGGGAACCTGGGCGCCTGTGCAGTGCGGCTGCTGGGGGCAGGTGGCGGTGAGGTGCACCGGGGCGACGGGACCGGCAGAAAGCGCTTGTCTGGACTGTGGCTGGTTGAGAAGGGCCCCGCTCCCGGGACCCTGGGGGCCGTTCAGGGCCGTGGCCCGGTCCCGGCTGGCTGCCACCCTCGGAGCCCTGACGGGGGCGGGCTGCCCGAGCCTGGATGGCTCCCGGGGTGCTTCTGCATGCCGCTCCCGCCCCGGCACAGCCGGCCCCGGCCTGCCCTGACGCCCTCGCCTGCTTCTCCACCCCGGTGTCTCCCCCCCCCCCCCCCCCCCCCCCCATCAGGCAGGAAAGATTCCCCGCCTTCCCGGGATGGTGCGTCGTCAGCGCCGAGCCGGGAGACTTGGTCTGCCAGTCGTGCATGGCTCGCCCTGCGTGGAGCTCGTTGGAAAAGCAGAGCTCGGGGGAAACGTGTCACGAGTGTCCTGGAGAGGAAGGGGCCTGGGAGGTGAGGACCGTAAGCCGCCTGGTACTTGCTGTGCCTCCCTAGTTACTACCTCGAGGTCAGAGGATGGCTCCGCTCAGGCGCAGAGGGCTCCTCGTGGCGGGGGCAGCCAGGAGGCCAGGACGAGGGGGGCAGACGCCGGGCGCCCCTCACTTGCCCCTGGGGCCTTTGAGCTTGGTTCCGTCACCTGTGGAGGGGGAGTGGTGACGGTCTCATCCCAGGCTGGGATGTGAGGCTTAGCTGGGACGGCAGGGACCAGAGCGCTTTTAGAGCACTGAGTGCGGGACGAGGCGCCAGAGGTGATCCGGCCTCCTCGGGCTGGGGCTCCGCACCCTCCCGACACGGTTCCTGCCCGTGGGGATGCGGCCACCGTTGGAGGGAGAGGCTGTGGGAAATGTGCTGGGAATGCGAGGAGAGGTCGTTTTTCCAAAGAATGGGTTTTCTGTGCATTTAAGAAGGAAGCACGCCGTGTGCAGGGGCTCCCTGACGAGGTGGGCGCCGTTGGTTCCTCCCACGCGTGACCGCGTGGGGTCAGAGGAATGGGAGGGGCGGGTGGGAACGGGGAGTGTCTCCTGTCTGCGGGCGGTAGGGTAGAGGGAGGAGACTGTTGTGGGAAGACACCCACAGCACGTTGAGGAACTTGCCGGTCGGTGGACACCTGTCTCATGTGCTCTGCGTGCCTGTGACAGTGGGTGACGGTCAGCTGGTTCTGAACCCTGGGCGGATTCCTCAGCCTCTCTGACCCCCAGCCGCCTCTTCTGTGACGTCCTGCCTGTTTCACAGAGAGACTTCCGTGGTGGATGACGTGGTAAGAAAGCATGAGGCCCTGTGTAGTTTACTTTGTTCTGGAAGCAAGGCTGGTGGGGAGCTTTTCTTGTCGTGTTGACTGTGCTTGGGCAGGGAATCAGGGAAGGCCTCTCTATGGAGGTGACGTTTGTGTTGAAGTGGACAATAAAGCAGCAAGTGCAGATCAGAGGCAAGTGTGCTGCACCCAAGGAAGAGCAGGTGCAAAGGTCCTGGGGCAGGAGTGTGCTCAGACCCGTCTGTGGCTTGAGGGGAGGAGCGAATGAGGGAGAGGAGGGTACAGGTCAGCTGATGAAACGTGCCACGAAGTGCTCCCTCGGGAAGGTCCCGGGGACACACAGGAAGTGGTCTCGCCTGCAGACCCTATGCCTTGCTGGGGGCTGGGCACCCTCCGGGCCCCTTCCAGCCAAGGTTGGAATTGAAGGAGTCACGTAGTTCAGTGCTAAGAAAGGACGTGCTCCTCCTTACGGCGGAACAACCAGCAGATACCGGGGTGGGGGAGCGTGAAGTCTACTGGAAGGCAGAGCAGCTGGAGTCGGTAGCACAGGAGGCCTGGTGGGGACGCCGCCCAGGAACACGGGCTGTATCCTTCGTGCTGAGAGCCGGCCGTGCGCACGTGACGGGGCCAGGGTCCTCCGGGCCGGCTGCTGCGTCCCAGGGTCCCAGGGTCCCAGGGTCCCAGGGCTGGGGGGCTGCGGAGGCGGGCAAGGGAGCGGGGGCAGTTTCGAGGCCTCGCTCTGGTCTGGGCCAGCAGACTGAGCCCGGGAGCAGGTGCTGCGAGCCTGACAGGCCCGTGTTCCCCAGGGTTCAACGCCCGGAGTCTTGCCTTTGGGGTTACAGAGCTGTTGGGTGCGGGGCTCACAGCCGTTCCTACCAGCCCCGCGTGAAGTCTGCGTGTTCGCGTGGTCTCTCGGTCTCTCGTGCTGTGGGACACTCAGGAGGGTTGTGAAAATGTCGGCACCACCGTGGCCTTGGGTCCGATTTTGCTTCGCGTCATTGTCACCTGCCGCGTCGTGACCCGTGGCGGCTGCTCTGTGGGGTGCTGTGTGCAGCCTCTTCACGCTGAGGACTCCAGGAGGGTGGGAACTGAGCAGGGGACACAGAGCCAGCAGAGCGTGGGTGCCCGGGACACAGTCTCCGCATCCTGGAGGCCCGACTGGGTGTGTTTGCTTTTGCCCATAAGACGTACCTAGTGGGGAAAATGTGAAGAACGAGGAAGTCGGACCGAGTCCCGCCGTGAAACCAGACCGTAGTGAGCGTCTCGGAGCGCATTCTTAGCGTCGTTTTTCTGTTTCTGGTCCGGCTTGATTATTCGTCGGGATTATATCCAATGCTCAGTGCTGGCCCTCGGGGCAGTTTTTCATTTTCCTACATACCTTTTCTGGGTAGCGGGTGCTTTTCCTTTTTTTAAACATGAAATGAAAGCACGTCATGGAAATTGCGTTTGTGAGGCCAGAAAGAGGCAGCAAATAGGAGGCGCTTTGGCAAGATGGATGGGAACAGAAGCAAAGATGACAGGCTGGGAAGGGCTCCCCCCACAGGGCCGCTGGAGGGCGGGGGGCCTCGTGGGCGGCGGGGGGCCACGCGTGGAGGGAGCCCTGCGCGTTGGGCCATCTGCCGCACTAATTGGATGAAAGTATTAACTGTTCGTCCTGAGTTCCGTGTAATTCGAGACTCAGGAAAGATGTGGCCTGTGATTCGGGAAGGTCCCGTGACTCTCGTTCCCATCCACGGCCTCGGGACCGGAGTTGGTTTCAGGGGAGCCACGTAAGCGGAACAGGACTTGGCCATCAATTGCGAAAGACGGCTGTGGTTTTTTCCACTCTGTCCTCTGCGTTGTGTCAATACTGGTAAACCTTGGGCACCTGGGGGGCTCGGTCGGGTGAGTGTCCGACTCTTGACTTCGGCTCAGGTCGTGGTCTTACGGTTCACGGGTTTGAGCTCCGAGTCGGGCTCTGTGCTGACTGCGCGGAGCCTGCTTGGGGTTCGCTCTCGCCCTCTCTCTGCCCCTCCGCCACCCCCCACGTGTGCGCGCTGTCTCTCTCTCTGTCAAAGCAAAGAAACTAAAAAAATACGTACTGGTAAATCTTTTTTATAACTGTGGGGGAGACAAGTGTGTATTTTTTAAAGTCAAGGAGAGTTTTAATCCTCTGCCACTTCTTTTTTTTTTTTTTTTTTTTAATGTTTATTTATTTCTGAGACAGAGCTTGAGTGGAGGAGGGGCAGAGAGAGAGGGAGACACAGAATCTGAAGCAGGCTCCAGGCTCTGAGCGGTCAGCACAGAGCCCGACGCGGGGCTCGAACTCACAGACCGCGAGATCGTGACCTGAGCCCAAGTCGGTCGCTCCACCGACCGAGCCCCCCAGGAGCCCCGAAAGGTGTGTATTTTTAAGTACAAGTGGCATTCTCGCTCCTTCCGGGCATATTGCTCATGTAACCTCTGAAGTTTAGGGTCATAGTTAGAATCCAGAAAAAACCTGTGACATGATTTGTAACCAGGTCCCTGGTTCAGGCCAGTGGTGTCACATCCGAACACGAGGCAGCAAAGAGCCCGGTCAGTGTCTCGGGGACAGCCGTGCGTCCCCACTGAGAAGTCATTGGACTGCAGGACACCGTGAGGGGGACCGGCCCATCCCCCCAGGGCAGCCAGTGTGTGGGGCGCCTGGGTCTCCACCTGGGCTTTGTCTCCTCGCGACCTACATGCAGTCCCCTCAGGAGCCAGTGGGCGGGTGCTTGGCTGTATAACCGGAACCCTGGGGAAAGGGATCAAATGTTTGTGTTTTTTCTTTTTTTTTAAATTTATTTTTAAGTTTATTTATTTTGAGAGAGAGAGAGCACGTGAGCACTGGGGAGGGGCAGAGAAAGAGGGAGAAAGGGAGAAGAACCCCAAGCAGGCTCTGCACTTTCAGGACAGAGCCTGATGTGGGGCTCGAACTCACGAACCGCAAGATCGTGACCTGAGCTGAAACCAAGAGTCAGATGCTTAACCAACTGAGCCGCCCAGGTGCCCCAGCATCAAATGTCTCAAAGAGAGAACCTCACTTTTTGGAGGATGTCGAAGTTGTGCCTTTGAGGCTGGTGACCACTGGGCCCAGCCGAGCACCTGTCTCCCTGTGTGTACCTCGCCTCAGGGTCGCCGTGAGCTAGGTTCCTCTGTACAGCCGTGTCCCGCCCATAAGCAAAGCAGGGATGAGATGGGCACCCCGTCTGGCTGCAGCCCTCAGGGGTTCATGCGTTCAGCGGGCCATCAGTAGGAAGGAGGGCGGCCAGAGGTCCCCCGCCTCCTGGTGGGACCGCGCGTCGCCACCTAGGAAGCTTCCGTCTCCCCAAAGGTGTGCAGGTTTCAGAAGATCCAGGGGGAGGGGGTGCAGCCACACAGCCCGATGGTGGGACCGCAGGACAGAGGACCTTCAGTGGGGTCTTCAACGAGGGTGTGCGGGGTTCGCGGAGCAGTGGGTGGGACATCTACCACTCGGAGGCGCCCCGTCAGACTCTCACGGGGCAAAGGGAGCAGTTAGGGAGCCGTGAGCCCGGAGTAGAGCGCGTGTCTGTGTGACTCGGGGTGGCCGGGGCCACTGCTGGCCATGACCCGGCAGCGGGGCCTGGCGGGAGCAGATGGCCGTCGATGCTGAGCTGAGGGTCGTGGCGTTGCCGTGGCGTCACCTCGGTGGCATTCACGTGCAGGACTTTCCGTAACAGACCGGAAAGGGGGAAGCACTTCCTAGAGAGACGGCCGGTCCGGCGCTGGGGGCCTGTCTCTCACTGGAGCGCATGCCTGGGAGTGTTGGCACGAAACGTCCCGGACCCGGTCTGCGTCATCCGCTCGTGCACCTGCTGCCTCTGTGCGTCTGGGATGTGCCCGGTTAGGAGCGGGAGCGGTTTGCCGCGTGGTCGGGGACGGTGTCCGCGCGGATGCGGGCCAGACCGCCACACCGAAGGTCGCGTTCCTGCTTTTCAGACTGGGCTGCTGCCATCCGGGTCGCCGCCCTGGACTGCGCGGAGGAGGAGAATCACGAGGTGTGCCGAGCCTACGACGTCCACTTCTATCCCACCTTCCGGGTGAGCACCGCCCTGCCTTCCGTGGGCGGGCCGGCTCTCTGCCCGCCCTCTGTCCTCCCTCCCCGCGATCACCGATCACCGTGGGGGAAGCCGCGGCACTCTGGCAGGCGCGGGCGTGTGGCTTCAGCTGAGAGGAGCTCGTGTTGGCCCGGGGCCCCCTCTTGTGCTCCGCCCCTTGTAGGTTGTGCACACGCACGCACGCACGCCCCGGCCCCCACTGGCGCCCCGCGGGAACGGGGGAGGCGGGGTCTGCCGACCCGGTGGGCATGGGGGTGCTCGGGAGCTGCAGTCACAGCTCGGGGGGCAGGTCTCTCCACCCCCTCGCGTCCCTGTCCAGCCGGGCCTTTCCCGCCTGCACGGGGCCGGGCCAGGTTGTCCCAGTGAAGCCTGGAGAGCCGCCAGCGGGTGGCCCCACGGGTGGGTCGCCCCACGGGCGGGTCTTACCCGTTTCTTCCACTGGGGGCGGCGGGCGAAGGGATCCCTTGGAGGTGTGAAGGGGCGTGGCCCTTGCCGGCAGGCGAGTGGGAGTGCGAGTGCGCGGGGAGGTATTTACTGCCCAGAAGACTCGCGGTGCCTTCAGAAGTCCCCTCCGAGGGAGCTTTGTGTCCCCTCCCCTCCCGCTCGGCCCTCGAGCCCTGTGCCCTGTGTGGCCTGGCGCCCCCGCCCCGTCGCGTCTCGTGAGCCCTGCGGAGCACGTCCCCTGCGCTCTCGCCTGTTTCGTTTTGTTCCGGCTGCACGAGCACAGCATCGCGCTGGGTGTGAGCCGGGCCTTGTCTCTTGTGAACAGGGTGCGGCCCGGAGCACCCCCATGGCCGGGTGTGGCGGAGGCTCGTCGGCCTTAGTCACCTGGGAACGTGCCCGCCCCCACCCCGGGTGCCGGTGGCACCGCTGGCACTCGGCCTGTTCCGGGCGAGGCTGCTGGGAGCGCTCGCTCGTGTCTGACCCATGACCACGGCCACGTCTTCTGTTCACGGGCCCGGCGTCCCCCCTTCTTCTTCTTCCTTTTTATTTATTTTTTACTTTTTTAATATTTATTTTTGAGAGAGCACGAGCAGGGGAGGGGCAGAGAGAGAGGGGGAGAGAGAGGATCCCAAGCCGGCTGCGCGCTGTGAGTGCAGAGCCTGATGTGGGGCTCGAACCCATGAAACCGTGAGATCGTGACCTGAGCCGAAACGGAGTCGGACACTCAGCTGACTGAGCCACCCAGGCGCCCCGATACTAACCTTTTTTGTTCCAGTTGTGAGAACTGGAAATGTCTTCACCCGGTTTGTGACGGTCTTCTCACTGTCTTTGGTGTCTCTTTTAGTAAAAGAGCTTTTCTTCTGCTCAGAGACATAGCATCTGGCACTCTCCTGTAAGTCCTTTGTGTCTTAGAGCGTTAGAGCCAACTCTCAGGATGCGCGTTTGATTCCACGAGTCAGGGAAAGTGCCTGTTGAGCCCTCTGGCCTCTAGCCCCGTTGGGTCAGAGAATGTAAACGGCAGAACTGTGGTCAGTCCTCACCCCACACAGGGTGAGTCTGGCCGGAAACACTGACATCCACAGACACACATAGAATCGTGTGGTTTGCTATCGCTTAACGTCATCTCAAGCAGATGGACTAAAGCTTTCTTTAAGATGATGGTCGCTGTCCAGGGACGCCTGGGTGGCTCAGTCGGTTAGGCGACCGACTTCGCCTCAGGTCACGACCTCACGGTCCGTGGGTCCGAGCCCCGCGTCGGGCCCTGTGCTGACAGCGCAGAGCCTGGAGCCTGTTTCCGGTTCTGTGTCTCCCTCTCTCTCTGCCCCCACCCTGCTCTCGTTCTGTCTCTCTCAAAAATGAATAAATGTTAAAAAAGAAAATTTTTTTTTTAAAGCTAATGGTCACTCCCTTGCTTAAATATTTGCACAGACACCAGATGAGGCTCTTTCTTACTTGTCCTGTTTTTCTTCTTAGTATTTCAAGGCATTTACAAAGGAGTTTATAACTGGAGAAAATTTTAAAGGTAAGGACGTAAGCTTTCTATTTCACTCTCTCAGCATCGCTGCCTAAAGCCGTTAAAGCGGGGGTGGTTTCAGGGCACAGCGAGCCCCTGCTGGGGTCTGTCTGCCCGTCCCCCCTCCCCCCACTCCGGCACCCCCTCCCCCCCAACACACCCACATCAGTCCTGTCCGACCTGCCTTTCCTTGGAGGGTTCCAACGTGCATCGTGTCAGCGAGAATTTTATGCTTTGCCTTGGCCAATTCGGTGGTGGAATTTTTGTTTTTTATTCACTTTTTTATTCACAAGGCATTTGGAGAAGTGCACAGATCACACACAAATGCTCACCTTACGTGTTTTATGAGACAGCCACCCAGGTCAGGCTCCAGCACGTGACCGGCCCGTCCCCGGGCGGCAGCGGCTCACGTCAGAGGTCACTGTGCCCGTTGGGAGCGTGGCGTAGGTGGGGCTGAGGCGCGCCTGGCCGCTTCGCCTCCACGCTGCGGGTGGGGGATTCGCCCCTGTTGCCCATTGGCTCCCACACGGGTCTCCGTGCCGTCTCCTGATGTGCGAGCCCACCGCGGTCTCTGGGCGGCCGCCGGCGAGCCCCTCTGCGCGCCCTGGGGGGCCCTGGGGTGGGCGGCGGTGATGCGGTGTGGTTCCCCACAGGGCCCGACCGAGAGCTACAGACGGTGAGGCGGACGATGATCGACTTCCTGCAGAACCACACGGACGGACACAGGCCCCCTGCCTGCCCGCCTCTGGGCCCCGTCCGGTGCGTACTTGTGCGTAAACGGGGGCGTTGGGGGTCGAGGGTAATTGTGCAGAGTGCGGGTCTGCACGAGTGACGCGGGCCCTGGCACACGACGGCCCGCTCACTGCTCTTGAAGGCACTGAAAGCCTCTTTTTTCTCCTAAAAGGCCCAGTGACATCCTTTCGCTCCTGGACAGCCGCGATGGCCGTTACGTGGCCATCCTGTTCGAGAGCAACAGCTCCTATGTTGGACGGGAGGTAACTGCGTCTGTCGCGTCTGTGTCTTTCCCCGTGGCACCTCGTGGTGCGATCCGGCCGCTCTGTGGGAATGCCCGTGGCCTCTGCTCGGTGCTGCTCCCGTTCGTCCTTGTTGATTCCTGGAATGCAGGCGCGGCGTTGCCCAGCACGGGGGCGGATTTGCGGGCTCCCAGGGCACGCTGCCTTTTTCCTTGAGGCCCTTTATGTCTTGTGCGCTGCCATCAAGGTTGTTTCTTGGCTGTGTCGTGCACGCCACTCGTTTCCCAAATCCAAGACTCTAAAACGTCATTCCTGTCGTGGACCTTTTCTGCTCTGGTCTCTCACGCGCGGCTCTGAAGCCTTCGCCGCTGGCCCCAGACACAGGGGGAGTGGGGGGGGATGACAGGGAAACTCTCAAGCAGCCATGCCCCCCCCCCAACTCCACGAGCTCTGGGAACGGGGCGGGAGACCACGTGCTCCCCGCGGGAGCTCCCGTTGACATGCACTCGGGCCAAGGCTGCGGATGTTAGTGATCGCCCGCCTCGCCGCCCCTCCTCCCCGTGCCCTCCGAGTCTGGTGGCGACACGACTCGATGCCACCTTCTCTGGGCCGGCTGGGACTCCCGGTGGGGGGGCCGGAGCAGCCACTGGCCGCCGCACGGCATCCTCGTGTGCCGCCCCCACGCCGTCCCCAGGCTGCCTCTCTCACCGGCGCTCTGAGGCTCCCCCACATCCCGCACGCGGGCCCGAGCGGGGACCACCCTCTGGGGCAGGCGGCCTGGCCTCTCCCCAGAGGGCCGCCTGCCGCTGGGCTCGAGCGTGGCCAGCTCCAGCAGACGCACGCGCTCACCGGAGTCCGGTGACTGCCGCACTGCGTGAAGCGCCCCGTTCAGGACACGCTGGTTCTGCGGCTGAGAGGCCAGGGATGCCGCTTCTGCACCTGATTGTGGCGGCACATGCCAGGCCCGAGGGGCGCCTTTCACGCCGTCCGGCCCCTGAGATGCCCCCCTGGGGTCCTTCTGCTGCCACATCCCCGTCGCCGTGCCTTCGGCCTGAGCGGGATGGGACAGGGGCAGGTCGAGGGAGGGACCGGCCCGCCGGAAGCCGGCCGGCACTTCAGGGGGCCGACCGCGGCCGGGCCGCCGTCCCGGGATGAGGTTGGCCTCCTGGTGCGCAGCCCCCTGTGTCGAGGGAAGCTCCGGGCCGGGGCCGCGGCCCCGGCCCCGTCTCCCTAAGTGGGGGTGAGTGTGCTCGTCCCCTGGACGCCACTCCTGTGGAGGACGTGCTGGCCCAGGAAGCCCAGGGCGAGTTCTCTGGCAGACGTTTTCTTTAGAGTCCGTGAGCTTGCTGAGCGGGGCTGCCCTGCCCTGCGAGCGCAGTGAAAATGAAGATGAGCCTGGCTCAGAGAGCAGATAAATACGGATTTATTCTAAATGAGGTTGTTGGTGATTTCTGCACTCACGCTGCCTTCGTACTTGGTCAAGGCGACGTTTCCTGGGACGCGGCCGTCCACAGCCCGGTGACGCTATCTCCTCCTTGCCCAGGTGATCCTAGACCTGCTTCCGTACGAGAACATCGTGGTGAAGAGAGCGCTGGACACAGACAAAGCCTTCCTGGAGAAACTTGGGGTCTCTTCCGTTCCCTCCTGTTACTTGATTTACCCAAACGGGTCACACGGATTAATTAACATGTAAGTGTGGTCCGGCCTCAGGAGCGTTTGTGACGCCGGGTGGGATCTGGGGAACCCTTCCAAGGGTGGGGGCCTCCCCTGGGCGAGTTGCCACGCACTCCTCGCAGCTGTGACCACGGAGCCCATCCGCACGCCGTCTGCCCGCACCGGGCCCACTGAGCCACAGACGGCCTCAGGCGGGGTCGGGAAGGTCACAGGTGAGCAGCCGAGCCGATTCCAGGGGCCTGTGGTGGCCTCCCCGGCCCCAGCCTCCTGTGGGTGTGGGTGCCGAGGACCTGCCGGACCCCACCCAGCCTGTGCTGACCGAGCGGGTCCCACGGGGTCTCCGTGGGCCGCTTCCTCCGCCCCAGGGCTCCGGGTTCAGCTTCTGAGAGGCGGCCTCCCCGGAGCCTCAAACCCCAGGCCCTTGGGTGTGCTTCTGTTCTCAACAACCGGAAGTCAGGGAGGGACGGCGGCCTCTGTGGAGCGGGTCACCTGCTGTCAGGCTCCGTGAGCGAGGTCCTCGGGCCGCTCCAAGCACCCGGGCCCGCACACCGGGGGCTCCGGCCTCGGCGGGGGCGGCCAGGGCCAGGCCCACAGCAGATGTCGCCCTCGACGGGCTTTCCCTCAACAAAACGCCACTTTCTTTTGAAGAAAAACGCTCGTTTTGTATGAAAGCGTCACCTGTACGACTCGTTCGTGTCGAATGACTTGGGTGTTTTACCTTCTCTCTTTGGGAACGAGAATGAGCCCTTGATGCTGTTGATGACCCACAGCCACTGTGGAGATGTCCTGACGGCCGTGGCGCGTCCCCGGAGCGCATGCTCCTCCCCGTCCGTCGAGGGGCCCCACGGCCCCTGCCGCCCCCCGCCGCCCTGACTCCCGGGTGCCCCACTCAGAGGGCGTGCGGAAGACCCTCCCAGCTGGAGTCAAGCTGGTGCTGGCCGCTGCTCAGACCAGCCTTGCAGACTGTCCCGATGTCCCCACTGAACAGAAATGAATCGTCACACTGCAGCTGCAACCCAGTCATCTGTGGCTCTGTCTTCTCCGGGAGGGCCAGCTCCCCCACACCCTGGCAGAGCCAGCATCCCGGCCCTCCCCCCTCAGTCCCTGCTTCAGATGCCCAGAGAGCGGGCGGGCTGGGAGGTCCAGGCCACATGCCTGCATCTCGGAAGGAGAGCCCTTCTCGAGGCGCGGGGGAGGGGGGCCGCACAGGGGACTGGGTGCCCTAGTGCACGGCTCAGACACCTGCGGGTTGGCCAGGCCGGGAGGCACCCTGGCTCCGAGCCCACACTTTGTCCCCTTTCTCGCAGCGGAAAGCCTCTCCGGTCGTTTTTTTCCTCTTACTTGAAGTCGTTGCCAGATGTGAGGAAAAAACTGCTTTCGGTGCCTGAAAGACCCAACAGAGCAGAAACTCCAGAAATCGTGGTTTGGAGAGAATTTGACAGGCAGGTATTTCTCTCGGACCTGAGCTGCCCAGGGGCACGCGTGGGTGCGGGCCCGGTGCAGACGTGGAGGGCTGCGGGCTGCGGGGCTCCTTTGCAGGCGGGATTCAGCGGAAGCACACCCCCCTGAGCCGCCAGCTGTGCGGGAACGACCGACGTCGGCCTGTGGGGAGCGGGGGTCCCCGCGGGCTGGGAGCGAGGAGGGGGAGCGTTGGGCACGACGGACGTGTCCTGACCCGACCGAACGCTGTCTCCCGTCAGGTCAAAGCTGTACACGGCTGACCTAGAGTCAGGGCTACACTACTTGCTGAGGGTCGAGCTGGCCGCCCACAAGTCCCTGGCGGGGGCCGAGCTACGGACGCTCAAGGACTTCGTCACTGTCCTCGCCAAGGTGCGTGGTGCCTGACCCGGGCCGCGGGGGGCCGGGCTCCGTGCCTGGGGATCCGCGGGGAGTGACGCTGGCCTCAGCGGGGGGACTGGTCTTTCCTCCCGCTGCACGCGCCTGCCGGGTGCCCACCCAGTTCCGGGCCCCCAGACGTGACGGGGCCTCAGAAGGGGCCGGGACCACGACGCGCCCGACAGGAGGCACTTTCGGGGGGCCGGTGGTGCTCGGGCAGGGAGGCAGGGCAGGCTGAGAGGAGAGAGGCTGTGGGGCCTGGGCGGGGAGGCCGCTCGGGAGCCATCCCTGTGTGCGGAGTGGGCCCCAGCGGCCGGGACCCGGAGCCGTGGTGGTGCACGTGTCAGTGGCCGCTGGGAGGTGAGGGGCCGTGCTGCCGGGACTCTTCGCTCCCGGGGCAGAGAATCCAGGGCCTCCTGTCTCTTCCTTGGGTCAGAGCCTCGGGAAGCGGGAGGGCATCCCTCTCCCCTGGGGGGGGGGGGGGCGCCTGGGGCCCCTCTGCTCTCTCACCTTGGGAGGGCTTCTGGCACAGTGGCCTGGGGACAGAGCCCTTTGCTCCCGCATCTGGTGCCCAGCTCGCCTGTAGTCTAGAAGGTCAGGAAGCTTAGTTTTGAAGGACTTCTCTCGGGGTGCCCGGCTGGCTCGGTGGAGCACGTGACCCTGAGTTCGAGCCCTGTGCTGGGCGTAGAGATGACTGAAAAATGAAATCTTTAAAAATAAAAAAAATCAAGGACTCTTCCTGCTAAACGTCAGGTGCTCGGTACAGTGGTTCCTGGTCAACACTGTCGTAGATGCAGTTTGCTTGTGTCGTACGACTTCTGGGGTAAACTGTAGGAGGCGGAGTCGATGGTGGACGGGACGGTGAAGCCGCACAGCGGGTCTCCAAGAAGAGACGGAGGCTGTGTAGCCGGGCCTGTGCCCCGCTGTGCCGATCAGAGTTCAGAGGCCGCGCCGGCCTCCTTCGCTTTCAGTGAGTCACAAACGGGCTGACTCCTCACCCGCCACCTCCTCTGTGTCCTCGGCGTCAGGGAGGGGTAGAGCTCCACAGCCCAGGAGGATCACAGATTACCCGGGCCGGTTCCTCTAAAGCTCGCCAAAAGTGGCAGTCCAGCGCTGGCGAGTTGGGAGCGGCACGTTGTCACCGGCGCAGGAAGTGGGGTTTTGCAGCCTGAACTGTCCTGTCCCTGCTGCAGCAAGTTTCCGCTCAGGTTTCTGAGCCAGTGGCCGCCTTTGTTTCGCACGCTTAGCAGGCGACACGTAGGGCAGGGCTGCACCACGGGGGTGGCCGAGCCGGTGGGCGAGGTGCAGGAGTCCGGGCGGGCGAGCCTGTGGGCCAGAAGCCTCTGCCTGTGGCCCCTCCCGTCCCCTGCTCTGTGTTCTGGGAGCCCCCCACCCCAGCACCGGGAGAAACCCGTGTCAGGCAGACCCCACCTGGTCTAGGTCCCCAGGAACGGCGCTGCCGCGGGAGGCATCTTCCCGGACGACCTCTGAGCGCGGGTCCTTCCTTGCTCAGCTGTTCCCCGGCCGGGCGCCAGTCAGGAAGCTGCTGGAGACGCTGCAGGAGTGGCTGGCCAGCCTTCCCCTGGACAGGATCCCCTACAACGCCGTCCTCGACCTGGCCAACAACAAGATGCGGGTGAGCCCGGCCCCCGCCCCCGCCAGAGCTCAGGGCCCGCCCACTGCCGCCACCCGTCTGGGTAGCCACCCCCTGACCCCCGCACTCTCCTCCCTCCGGGGCCCCACGCCCAGCCCGGCGTGGGGAAGGAGGGAGCTGGGCTCGGGTGCCGTGGCACAATGCCTCCCCTCACTGCGTGGGAACCGCCGTGTCCCTCCGCGGTTTGCCGTGGCTTGTCCTGTTCCTGGGACGCTTTCTGTGCACCCCCCCATCCCCGCCCCTGCCCCCCGCCTGTGGTGCTGTCAGCTCACGGGTTGGTGGGAGGCAGGCCGCGACGGAACGGGCAGCTTGCTCGGGTGGTGTGGTGGTCGGGCTGGTGTGTTATTTCAGTTTTCAGCAAACTCCTAACTCCCGGCCAGAAGACACAAGGCCCGCGTGGACGTGGGGTGAATGCTTGAAGCTCCCGCTCGCTGTGGGCACGTGCCTCCCTATCCGTGGTGGCTGAGAATGTTCCACAGCTGGGCTTCTTAGTAGTCTTGGGGGGGGGGGCATCCTTCAGGCTTTTTCTGATGTTCCTCGTTTGTCGGACACTGCACCTTCCCGAGGCAGGAGAACACGCCCATTTGGAGACCTCCTTTAAATTGGTTGATTATCTCTTATTCACCAGCCTCCCAGATTTCTGGAATATTCCTTATTAATCACATAAAGTGGGTTGGATGTCAAGGAAGCCGACCAGAGTTCAGGGGTTACACGTGTGCTCTCTGGAAACTGTTCCACACTTTGACCGTCCAAGCTGGGGCCCATCCAGAAGCGCTGGATGGCACAGGTAAGCCGTCCCCGTGCCGGTGCCTGCCTGGCATCGTGAGAGGCTGTGTGCAAGGCCACATGTCACCGGGGCTGCCCGGGGGTCCCCTGCTCCAGAGAGGGGTTGGGGAGCTTCTCTCCACACCTTCTTCCCAGTCCCCGGGTGGGTGCTCGGTGCCCCCGAGACCAGCCTGTGCACGGCTGAGCCGCAGGAAATAAATCCGAGAGCAAGAGCACGCTGGCCAGGAATTCCTCTGCAGGGCAAACCCCTCATTTTTCTGCTTTGAGGAGTATGACCGTCAGCGAAACCTATTTGGAGACGTGTGTTTGCTGTCTCTTGCTGGGTAACAGCCCTGCTGCTTAGCAGCTTAGCTTCATCTCAGAGCGTCTGTGGGTCAGGAGCTCAGACGTGGTCTGGCTGGGGTCCTCTCCCTGGCCTGTGGGCCCAGTGTCGGCTCAGGCTGGGGTCTCACCTGAAGTCTCTGCTCGGAAGGGACCCTTCCCCAGCTCGCTGGAGGGGTGGTGGCCGGTCCGGGGCCTCGCTCGTTCCTCACCGTGTGGCAGCTGGCCTCGTGGGCCGGCCAGGGGGAGAGGGCGCCCTCCTCGGCGTGGTGTCCTTCCCGTCTGTGTTCCCTGGGCGGGCGGTGAGGCGCCAGCCCAGCCTGCCTGGGGGTGGGGGGCTGTGACGCCGCTCTGAGTCCGCCTGCACAAGAGGTTAGAAACCACAAAAGACGGACTTGGCTTGAATAACTTTGATTATCAGGAAAGCATGGTCGTGTCTTGTGCCCTGCACGAGACACCGAAAACTGGGCTGGGCTGTTTTATCCACCTTGAGCCGGGCTGCGTGTGCCCTTCCCCTGCGAAGCGGGCCGCTGGCGGCCATGGGGTCGATGGCCTGCCCTCTCTCTAGCAGTTGGTTCAGTGAGGCGGCTTAGCTATTTGTATCGAGCAAAGGCTGCGACTCACACGCCCGACACTCTTTCCAATAAGGCCGTAAACTTCTGGTTCTCTTTTGGTGTGTGACAACCTAAAGCAAACGCTGGGGCTTGGAAGAAACACCCTTTTGTTTGCTTGGGATCCTGTGGCTCGGCAGTGTGGGCCCCGCTCAGGAAGGACCTCAGGGCCCGGGCGAGCCGGCACAGGGCATCGCTTCTGTCGCATCCTATTGTCCCGCCCAGATCCACGGGGCGGCGGGGGGGAAGTCCGCCTGGCGCCAGGGAGGCGGCAAAGTCAGGTTGCGGGGGTCGTGTGCGGTCTTTGCGAACCCCTGCCACCCTGGCTCTCCTCGCGGTGACCTTGGACCTTGCTGGGGGAGGTGGGGAGTGCGCCTGCTGACGGGCCGTCCAGGGGGCTACGCGGGGGCTCCCGGCACCGGCCCCAGTGCCGCGGCGGAACGGCGGCCGAGCGACAGCGCACGTGGTCAGAAAGATCTCCGGGGCACAAACAGGCCGTACCCGAGGAGCGGGCCTCATGTCACACGCAAAGAACTGGGTCAGATGGACCCCGCTGGATTAGGTCTTGGAAGGTTTTTCCTCTCCTTCGTGCCTGTTTAAAGCCCATCGACTAAAAAGCCGCCGCGCTCTCTAATCCCCCACAGGTAGGGTTTATGGTCCTCGTCCACTCTGAAGATTAGGGTGGCCGGCCGCGCAGCAGTCCGGCGGGGAGAGGGAAGGAGGATTACCCAGTGATGGGCGGCAGCTGGTGGCCGGGGAGAGGTGGGCAGGCGAGCCGGCCATCGGGGGTCCTCCCCGCGTGCCCACCGTCCCGCCCTGCACGCCACCCGCCGCCCTCGGGGACACGCCGAGCGGAGGAGAGAGTGGCGTGCGCTCAGTGGGGGCCTTCTCTCGGTGAGGCCGGCGAGGCTGACGACAGGCGTGGGGACCTGGGCCGAGGCCGGGCCCTCCCACCCAGAACCACAAAGTGGCAGCGAAGGAAGGGCTCACGTGAGCCGCGAGGGGCTGCTGTTGATTCAGACGGATTCGGCCTCAGAAGCGCGGCTGTTTTTTTTTTTTTTCAATTATTTTGCTGCATTTCTTTTAATGCCGACGTTTAATCTGTTCTAATCTCAGTCTTGTTTGTTGGCTCAATCCCCGTATTAGTTGTCTGAAGGGAACCACGGGCGCCAGCCTCATGCCCGCCCCCCTCTTGCTGACGTGAGGGGTCCTCGTTTCAGTGAGGTGCGGCTGTTTCCTTCTGCTGTCGGGGGGGGGGGGGGCTGTTTCCTGGAGCGAGCGTGTTGTTCCCGGAACGTCTTTTGGGCAATGCCGGGGCGCCCCTCGCCGGCAGGCTCAGCCAGCCCGCAGCCCCCGGAAGGTCTGGCTCGTTGTCCTGGGTGCCGGGGCGCATCCCGGGGCGCGTCCTGCGTGTTCGGGGCAGCCCACCCCCCCGCCCCGGGCACAGGGCCGCTCCTTCTGGCTCGGAAGGCGTCTGGGCTCAGGCTCCCTGCCCGCCCGAGCCCGGGGTTCCAGCGGAAGCCCTGGGACGCACCCCACAGGGCTGCCGGTGTGTGTCCCCTCTCTCACCGCAGGTTTCGAGGGGGACCCGCAGGCAGTGCTGCAGAGCATCAGGAGGTACGTTCGCACCTTCTTCGGCTGTAAGGAGTGCGCCGAGCACTTTGAGGAGATGGCGAAAGAGTCCATGGATTCCGTCAGAACCGCAGACCAGGCGATCCTCTGGCTTTGGAAGAAACACAACTTCGTAAACAACCGCCTGGCAGGTGAGCAGAAGCCACAGCGGGGTGGCCGGTGTGAGGTGGCTGCGCGCATGGCCCCCCAGAACGCGTCCTGCCGCACACGTGCTGATGACACCTGACCTCTGCCACCATGCTGGCTGCCCCGGGGATTGCCAAGGATGACCGCCCCTCCAGGCTGCCAGCGTCCTTGGCTTTCCAGACGGTGCTCCCCCTTCTGGGGCTCCTGGGCTGCATGGAAACGGACACGCCGCCTCCCCCTGGGGTCACCGCCAGGCCCCCGAGGACGTTTGGTGCTGGCAGTCGTGGATCGTGATCACTTGTCAGTAAACGGTTTTTGTGCGATTACAATCTGCTCTCAGACTGGAAGCAAACCCCTCGAAGCAGTTTTGTTCCAAGACCAAATAGGGTGCATGTATTTTCTCAGAGTTAAGTAATTCAAACTGTTCCCAAATCAGTGGCAGATTAAAATTAGGCTTAAAAATAATTCCACTGACAAATAAATCTTAATAGAGATGAAGAGGAAATTCTACTAAACTATTGGTTTTTGTTTAATCCACCGCATTATAAAACATATTATAACTAAAGCACTAAAGAAAATTGGTTTTTCTTTGCGCTCAGAGCTGACCGCTGTGGCTCTGGTCGTGCGGCCACAGCGCCTCTGTGTTTGCCGGGGTTTGCCCGTGGCCGTCAGCTGCAGGGCAAGGCGTGTCCCCTGCGGCCCGGGTTCAGAGCCCCCACGCCTCTGCGTGTCGGGCCCACCCTGCTCCAGGAGCCCCACGCACCCCCTGAGTCATCGCGTTCCTCCTGGGTTCTGTAGCCGCCGCCCCCCCCTCCCCCACCCACGCTCCCCGGTCCCACCTCCGGCCTCCGGATTGGGACCCGGGCTCCCTGGAGGCCCCGAGACCTGCCCGGACCTCCCCGTGTCTGTAACGTGAGTGTGTGTCAGTCCCCGGCAGGGCGGCTGGGCCCCCGTGGTCCACACGCCCTCCCGCCCGTGCCTGTGGGCAGAGGAGAGGGTCTCCGTGGCTTCAGACCCATCAGACGGAGGCATTTCATCCACGTTTACTTGCAGAAGCACCGGCAGGGCCGCGGTGGGGGGGAGTCCGGGAGCCGAGGGCGCCGTGTGCCACACTTGCTGTGCTCCTGGTCCGTGTGGTCCTCGTGGGCAGAGGCCCGGGGCCGGCCGACCCGCGGCCTCGCGCACGTGTGGTGCTGACACGCGTCCGGGCACCATGCAGGCGTTGGCACGCGGGGCGGGTTCGCGTTTATTTACCGCGTGGAGCCCGTGCCGGCCAGAGGGCGCGTGCAGGTAAAGCCTGCCGCGTGGTTCCGTTTTGTGACCACACGTTTACACGTGTGGAGGGGAAGGGCTCGCCCCACTGGTGTCGTGTCTGGAGCAGAACCGGGAGCGGGCTCTGCCAGGTTTTCTGCACACAGGCAGCGAGGTTTCCCTGTTGCGGGTGGGCCTCACGCCCAGAGTCGTTTTCGGAGATCCTCTTGGGGTTTGGGGAGGGCCGGGGGGGGGGGGCGGGGGCTGCACACGCCTGAAGTGCCTTGGAGCCATCTGCACCGCCGGCTTCCGGGGCAGGCGTACGGGTGCGGGTGGGACACGCACCGGATCATGTGGGGGCCTCGGGGTCTCGGGGGACAGAGCAGCTGCGGGTGGGGGCAGGCCTGGCCAGGCGTGGAGCCTTCCCACCATCGTGGGTACCGGGGGGGGGCCAGGCGCCCGTGCAGGAGTGATGGGAGGTCACGGTGGACGTGGGGGGATGGGGGAAGGGTTCGCAGGGCACGGGCCCGGTCAGGGCACGGGTCAGGTCATCAGGAGGCACCTCGACTGTCGCTCTCTTTCCCCTCCTAGGCCATCTGAGTGAGGACCCCAAGTTTCCGAAGGTTCCGTGGCCCAGCCCGGACCTCTGCCCAGCCTGCCACGAGGAAGTTAAGGGCCTGCACAGCTGGAACGAGGGTCAGGTGCTCCTGTTTCTGAAGCAGCACTACGGCAGCGGCAACCTCGTGGACACATACGCCGAGGACCAGGGAGACGCCAGCGACGGAGGCGGCCCGCCCGGGGGCGGGGAGCGCGAGAGGGGCCACGCTTCCCCAGAGAAGCCTCGGGGGGACCAGCGTGCCGAGAGTGCCCGTCCACCCAGCGTGCTGCCTCCCAGACCCCGCCTGTCCGAGGGGTCACAGCTTGGCCTGGACGGGAGACTCCAGAGCGTGAGCTGGGCTGAGGGCCGCAGGGAGGCAGAGGCGGTCGTGCCCTTCCTCGGGATGGGCTTCTCCAGCTTGGACATGAGCCTCTGCGTCGTGCTGTACGTGGCCTCGTCCCTGTTTCTGATGATGATGTACTTCTTCTTCCGGGTGCGCTCCAAGCGATGGAAGGTCAGGCATCACCGCCCGTCCGTGTAGAACCGAGCGGGACCACAGAAGCGCCTTGAGAAACAGCCCCACCGCGCCCCTGCAGCTTTAACGATGACGATCAGGGATTTTATAAACACATCAGACCTGGTTTCATACCAGATGGCCCCAAGTCCTCGTTTAACGAATGGTTTTCGTGCCGAGGACGAGCCGCTGTTTGTGGGGCTGACTGCTGTCCGGGGGTCCTCCCTGGACGCCTCTACAGATCCGACAGCAAAAAGACATCTGTATTTTTACCCTTCTAGATCTGAAAACACGAGTGGGAGTCCAGGCCAAACGGACAGAATTCTTCCCGCCTGCCTTCACCCTGGGTTTCTAGACGCACGTCGCGTTCTGCACCCTGGCTTGGGGTTTGGAGCACAGCCAAGCCCTTCCCTGCACCGGGAGGCCACCGGGCAGTGTCTTGCCACCAGCCGCGGCCAGAGCAGAGAGGGAGCTCGGCCGCCAGCGCAACCCCACCCCCGGCCGCCACTCGAAGCCAGTCGGGTCCTCGGAGATTCGCTTGTGTCTGCGCTTTTCAGCTGCTTGGTTGTTTCTGCTGAAGCCGCTCACAGCCAAAGGGACGACTTCTTCGTCACCCTCGTGCTCTGCAGGCACCTTTTGCTGCAGATGCAGAGTCTGGAGAAAGCGGGAAGGGAAGAGGAGGGTTCGCGGTGTTGCTGCATTGCAATAAACACCCCCCCAGGCCGTGTGGAGCGCAGGCTGGGGACAGGATGGTGGCAGAGGCAGGGCCTGTGTTAATCTGGTGGCAGGACGCCAAACGGCCCGTCCCATGGCGCCAAGGGCGGAGCCCCTGGGGAGGGGGCGTGGGGGACACACTCCTCCGGAGGGGAGTCCGCAGGGGAACGAGCCCCTCACCCTCTGTGTCACATGGGGCGGCGCCTGCAGGATCTGCCGGTGACCTGAGAGGGTAGGACCCGAGGGCCCGGCGAGACGGTGACGCCCGGTGGCCCCCCGGGGGTGGCCTGTCCTGTCCCCAGCATCTTTAAGGCCAAATTTCATCCCCCTGAACCTGTTTTATGAAGGGTCCTGGCACAGGGCCCCGGTGCCCCAGGTATTGGTGATTGACTTTTTTACCGTTTGATGATTTTAGCACATTATTCGTCAAACCCGAGTGATTTAGAGGTAAGTTTGCCTCTGAAGACGTCAGCGGACAGAATGGACCGTGCCCTTCTCGTCGAGATCCTTTGTGACTGTCGGTCTGTCCCACAAACTCAGATGTGTCTGTGCTCTTGTGTCCGTGAGGTTCTAGTCTTTCCCACTCTGCCTCGGGTGTGCTCTGTGTTTACTGACCACAGTTGGCCACTGGCCTGTACCTGTTCGGGCGCCGCAGGCTGGGGGCGGTGGGCTCTCACGGCCACGGCCTCGAGGCCGGTGGAGCCGGGCCCTCCCTGGGCGGCCATCGGAGCTTTCTTTCTGTTTGACGCTTTTTTAACCCCCAGGAGCCTGTGTGTTTCGTACGTGGCCGTGTGCTTGGGTTCCGGAGGACCCCGTGTTGTTTCCTTTCATTGAAAAAATCAGGCAGATTCACACACAGAATCAGAAGGGAAACACTTAGCACCGTTCACTAGACTGCCTGTTGGTTCACGTCAGATGCTTTTTCCTGCCCCGAGTGAGTTTCCTCGCGTGGTGCGAACCGGCACCAGGTGGCAGGACGCGACCACTGCCAGAAGCTCCACGAAACCCGTCGGAAGGGCAAGACTGGCTCTAGGGTCCCTCACAACATCGCAGTCGAGGTCACCACCGTGTGAGGGACAAGTCTGAGGCTCCCTGAGGGGCCAGGCTTCCAGCAGTCCGCGGGCAGTCCGGGAGAGGTGGTTTGCCGAGACGGCCCCGGACGCGCGTCCCGTGGGTGCCTCATGTGGCTTGCTCAGAACCGGGCACTACGTTTAGGCAAGGTTTAAGGTCTGTTTTCTAAAGTTGTAAGTATTGAGACTAATGAATTGACTGGTTCGGTAATTTAAATGGGTATTTATTTTTAATGGAGGGATTTTGATTAAAAAGAAGCTAATTGACATGGAAATGTCTGGAATTTCTTACCTGCAAGGAAAGTGAACGTTTTGTATTTAAGTGAACTATCCTGTGCACATTTTTTAAATAAATAAATCTGACATTTGAGAAGATTGTAATTCTTTTGAGACTGTGAGCTCCCTGGAACAGTGATAGGAGTCGGGGTGCAGAAGGGAGCCCTCCTTCCCTTCCGGAGTTTGTGGACTGGACATCTGAAATTCCAGAGCCTCTTGTACTGAACCAGACGCTGAGGTGGAAGGTGAAAACCGGACGATGAATTATGGATTCTCTTCCTGGGGTTGATCTAGCTGGGAGCCGCCCGCGGGACAGCGGTTTTGGTTCAAATCACACGGCAGGCAGATGGACTGAGATGGGACAACAGCTGAGACACATGTGAATTGCAGGACTTAGGGCACCAGGGGCGCCCCGGTTAAGGGAGCCTCTGAGGAACCCTGGGAGAAGGGAGCCCCCAGGCACCTGTTTGTTGCCTCAGAGTCTGAACTGTTTCTTCTCCTGCCTCTACCTTTTTTTTTTT